CATACACAGAAGATATACTGTAACGATGAACGCCCCACACAGAAGACATATATATACAGCTGTACGTAACACACACATGTAAGGCTGTACGTCACACACAGAAGATATACTGATGTATGTCACACACAGAAGATATACTGTAAGGATGAACGCCATACACAGAAGACATATATTTACAGCTGTACGTCACACACAGAAGATATACTGTAAGGATGAACGCCACACACAGAAGACATATATATACAGCTGTACGTCACACACAGAAGATATACTGTAATGATGAACGCCATACACAGAAGACATATATATACAGCTGTACGTCACACACAGAAGATATACTGTAATGATGAACGCCATACACAGAAGACATATATATACAGCTGTACGTCACACACAGAAGATATACTGTAATGATGAACGCCATACACAGAAGACATATATATACAGCTGTACGTCACACACAGAAGATATACTGTAATGATGAACGCCATACACAGAAGACATATATATACAGCTGTACGTCACACACAGAAGATATACTGTAATGATGAACGCCATACACAGAAGACATATATATACAGCTGTACGTCACACACAGAAGATATACTGTAATGATGAACGCCATACACAGAAGACATATATATACAGCTGTACGTAACACACAAGACTATAACGTCTATAAATCATTTTGAAAAGGATAACCATACCTTGCGAGACTTTGTATGAAAAACAATAATGAAGATCCTTAAGAAGTGGTATTATATTTTGACGTATAAGTATACACAATACTTACATAAAAGCGAAAAAATTATATACATTCGAGAGAGAGAGAAAGAAAATCATACACAGAAGTATCTAAATATTGGAATTTTGTGTTCAATCGCGTTTCAAAAGAGATTTTATCCATACACAACCTACTTAAATAACGTGCTGAACGCTTTAATCTTCCTCTTTAAGTCATCGTGTCTGTCTTAATGACTATGTCCCTCATCCTTTAGAGGTTGATCACGTGTGCCGCGAGAATCTCAAGTAACTTCAGTGCAGTATTCAGTCTGCCGACTCAGAAAGTAACGAACTGATAATAACTTCCTTTTCGCGATGACTTATCTTTGCGAGTATGCTCGAAATTAATATTAGCACTGTTCGCACTGTGTTTCCGGTCATTAGATAGCCGCAGCTAGTGAGACCATCCCTTTGTTGTTTCTTCCCTCGTTTTGCGCATATTTATAATATTTAAAAACGTCGTATATCATTGTCTTATTTACATTTATACATGTGAACACATTTGCATGTTCTTTTTTCTTCGATTGTTGAATGTACAGCATTATACCAGATACAGGTTAGATTAGCCCCACTAAATCGTCGGCATTTCTCCAGTTTCCTTCCCTTTTCTGGTGTTCCGATCTTCCTTTGTATTTCAAGCTCTTTGTAGGATAATATTTCCAGTTTTGGTACTAGCGAGCGAGATACCCCCACTAAATCCTTATTAGGAAATGTATACAGTTCACTATCCTACATTTTGAAGGGTATTTTAGGAGTGCCTGAATTCTCTTTGCTAGTTTTCATCTTAATTCTAAGTTATCATTTCCTTTATTTCCTTCAGAAATGAAGAGTTACAGCTAAATGATCTAGGGAGGAGGGTACATATTATACTGTACTTACGAAACTTTATATTTTGTAGTGAAATAATGTTTCACAAAGCCTGAAGGAAATTTTCAATCGAGTAGTCGGTCAGCATCTAGAGTTATCTACCTTGGTATATATGTAATACAGTGTATAAGGCATAAGAGAAAGTTTCAATTTTAAAGCAGAAACTAAACTCAAGAAAACATCACGGTCAACGTTTTATGAACGGATTTGGCAGCATCATGTATCAAACATTGATCTTTAAAATATTTCTAAATATTGAAAAGTATTAGAATAGGTGATATATTAAAACGTGTAATATGGTGGATTTTTAAATGTATGTTTCTTTAAAGAACATATGAAATCTAAAATGCGATTTAATAAATGGCCTTTTGACGTTCAACAAAGTCGGGATTTTATATGTTTCAGCCCAGCATGGGCAAACGTCCGATGTCATGTGGAGTCGTCTGTGTAACGCAATGTCATAAAGGGCTAATATGGAGGGACAATAGCATGATAGTGGGGCATCGTCAGACAGGGTTATAATGTCATAATGGTGGGGCAATGTCATAGTACCATATAATGATGTAAGAATATCCTACAGGACCAGAATATAGACCATGCATTTGTATATGCCAACATCACAAATACGAGTTCGTGATAAACGTCAGGGATTTATCGAGCGTGTGGGTTTGGGAGTCTGAACTAATAAGTGTATGTAAAAATATCATGAAATTGAGTTTACCGTATGACGCGACGCATCTTTCTATCATATTCAATTTGTGAAGAAACGTTACACCGGAAAGAAATGTGCCCCACTTTCATCAAAAAGTTTGGATCCGAAACTCCACCGCATTAATTTGTTCCAGTCATCTCACAAAACTTCTTTTTTTTTTAATTCACAAAAGATTATTTTGTTACAGAATCGCATCACATTCACAAGATATTTCAGATTTGTCTGTAATTATTTGCAGACATATTTTTATTTATTTTTTTATTTTTTTTTATTTTATCATGTTTACCGTGTCTAAAATTCCCGATATGATGTAAAAATCACAGCTCACTCATGAAACTAGAGAAACATATACCAATATTTGTTAATTCAATGGTAATATGATAACATTAGCTTGATATCGACACCCGAACACAAATCGAGGGAGTAGAAACAATGCAAATGTGTCGCCTACTTTACCCCCTTCGCTCGTCTTTATCAAGTAATCGAAATGCGGTACCAGCAGCACTTAGTGCTATTGTTTAAATCGGTCTTAACAATGTTTCTATTATTTTTTACTTTCACGACATATAAGGATCCCCAAAACTAACTAATCATTGGAAATTCATATTTGCGGCTGGATGGACTGTACATTTTGTAACGTTATGTCTAGCTTTTGATAATACCTTGCTGGGGTATTTATGCAAAATTATAAAAGATAAAATTAATTTAATATAAACAACAGCAGCGTTTTAAGTTTAAAAGGAGCTAGAAATGGGTGTTCGAACCCTGGACTTCAGATATACCTGGCCAACTGGTCCAAACCGAATTAAGGGGAGGTAACCGTTTATAAGAAGAGCCACAATGCAGCGGGGCAGCATCCTTGATATCCAGGGGTTACGCTTACTTTCATTTAGCGAGCGTAAACCCTGGAAATCGAGGATGGCGGAGCAGGGACCATTAATATAATTGTTTCGACTTTTTTTTGTAAACTATAGATTTTCAGCGAATTATCTCTTCCTTGCGACAAAAGGATAATCCGTTAAACGAATAACTAGTCGTATATAAGTTCGTGTCTGCTACAAGGACCATGTGCATGCACCAATAAACTAGAATACTCAAACATTTCAAGTAATTTACCAACTGGGAGTTGTTTAGCTGGAATTAATCTTTGTTTCGGATTGTTATTATTTTTTTTTTTTTAATCATGGCGTCGTGTTTTCTGCTTTCACGTTCATCAGAGGGTAGTTAGCAAGTTTTACAATTGTAAAATAGTTCGTAATCGTTGCCTACATCTGGTCTCTGTAATTTGTTGATTGTTTGAACAAGGATATATTTATGTAATTTAGTAGTCACTAATTTAGACAACTCTTTTTAAATAGGATGTTGAGGATTTTTCCGTAATCTCGTCGTTAATTACATGTACATATGGATAAAACCAGGTCTAGTACACTGGCCTTCGAGCTATATATTATATAACTGCAACAACCCATAATCCCCTATATTATAAAGCTTGGGACTATTTTCCAAGATTCCAATAATAATTAAAATATTTTAAGATGATTTTTTACTAAGAAAAACGGTTGTTCATTTTCCTTTTTTTCGCCTTTTTGAATCTTATACCGATAAAACATATTAATGAGTTTTCATTTTACGTGAAAATTGCTTAAAACATCGGTTTCATGTATAGCTATTATAAGTCATCAAAACTATATGTAGCTCAACCGGCAGTGTGTATTGGACCAGTTTTAATTATCGACAAAGGACTTTGGGCGTTATGGGTCATTTTTGGCCTTGCAAGTAAACAAATCTACTTGAAAATTATTTACCATTTTCTGCATATTGGTTAATTTGGCCCATCTTTAATGGAGAAGATTTTTCCCATGCGCATATGTCCTGCCATAGCAACGAGATTGCGTTACTATACCGAAATAGTCAAAATATGGTGTTTTTGGCCAGTTAGCATACAACAATGAAAGCCTCCGCGTGCGATAAACAAAAAATCCTTTCCACGAATGAACACTGGCATGACAATGTTCCTGCATGTTAAATATTGGTTTGTTGCATGCGCAGGCTTTAATTATTTTACTTTAAAATTACAAATTTTCAACAAAATAGCGCACAACGGACAATATTTACAAATTTAACTTATGAAAATGCGAGTTTATGCATCTCTTTATCATGTCATAATTCCTAAACCTAGTGTCGAATGCTTCCTTCATTCCAGATTTCTAACAACTATATACTTTTAAATCCCCGATAAGGCCGGAAATAACCCTTAACGCCCCTCGTCCTTAGCCAATATCTTGATAGTGTCGGCAGATTCTTCAAATACAATTCCTACTTTCAAGGTCAGTGCCCAAACCGATGTTCCATAGGGATTTTTCAACACCAAGACCAGTCGATGTTCCGATATTATTACCGCATTACTCAGTTCAACTGTTGCCACAATTATACCAGTTTAATAAACCGTTGGCAACGCCTCTCTGGATATATTTTAGATGCAGCTATCAAGATTCACTCAAGATTTTGAATCGTCAATAAGTCGTGTTTTAAATATCGATTTTAAACTAACAAAATGGCCAGGACATTGACAGATATACAAAACTTGTGTGAATCTTGTTGAGAGAAGGTATAAAACCTCACAATATGACACCTTTTCTTGTATACAAAATAAAAAATTTATTATTACAATATACATACATGAACTTTATTCACATTGTCAATGTGATAATGAATAACAAGATTGGGGTAGTATAGCGCAGACGATGTGTTCGGACCGTATTGCCATCTTAAGACACGGGCACCTCTTTTTCTAAGAGGAACTGCAACTTAACTGAACATCGCGAGGTTAGTTTGTTATATTGCATAGCATCTCCCGATTGCTGAAACCTGGTGGAATCGTTTAACAAAACTTGGGACACAATGCGCAAACCCGGTGCGCAAAAAGTCCTTCAGATCATAGTTTTCGTATTGTGTAGACTTTGTCGTACTCTTGGATTATGAAGCGTTTAGAAGCATTTCCTGTGGACAATGGATGGGCCGGACTCGTCATATTCCTGCTTGCTGATCCACATCTGTTGGAAGGTGGACAGAGAAGCCAAGATGGAGCCTCCGATCCAGACGGAGTATTTCCTCTCTGGTGGAGCAATGATCTTGATTTTCATGGTTGGTGGAGCGAGGGCAGTGATTTCCTTCTGCAGACGGTCGGCAATACCGGGGAACATTGTGCTGCCACCTGACAGTACAGTGTTGGCATACAAGTCTTTACGGATATCTACGTCACACTTCATGATACTGTTGTATGTGGTTTCGTGAATACCAGCAGATTCCATTCCCAAGAATGAGGGCTGGAACAGAGCCTCGGGGCACCTGAACCTCTCGTTTCCAATGGTGATCACCTGACCGTCGGGAAGTTCGTAGCTCTTCTCCAGTGATGAGGAGGAAGCAGCTGTCTGCATTTCTTGTTCAAAGTCAAGTGCTACATAAGATAATTTTTCCTTAATGTCTCTTACGATTTCTCTCTCGGCTGTGGTTGTGAATGAGTAACCACGCTCGGTAAGGATTTTCATCAGATAGTCTGTTAGATCACGACCAGCGAGATCCAAACGGAGGATGGCGTGGGGAAGGGCATAACCTTCGTAGATTGGGACTGTGTGGGACACACCATCGCCAGCATCGAACACGATTCCGGTGGTACGACCAGAGGCGTATAGGGACAACACAGCCTGGATGGCGACGTACATGGCGGGAGAGTTGAAGGTCTCGAACATGATCTGTGTCATCTTTTCCCTGTTGGCCTTGGGGTTAAGTGGGGCCTCTGTCAGGAGGACAGGGTGCTCCTCGGGAGCTACACGGAGCTCGTTGTAGAAGGTGTGATGCCAAATCTTCTCCATATCGTCCCAGTTTGTGACGATACCGTGTTCGATGGGGTACTTGAGGGTTAGAATACCCCTCTTGCTCTGGGCCTCATCACCGACATAGCTGTCCTTCTGTCCCATACCGACCATCACTCCCTGTAATGACAAAAGAAAAATACACATTAGAAAACACATTTCCATTTAGAATTGAAGCTAACAAATATACTTTCTCACTGAACAGGTCAACTATCATACACGTAGAACGAACTTGCATTGGTCATGCAGGACACTTGTAGTAACAAGGATCAAGTTAACTGACCTTACAAGGTCAAGCTCACAATTTTTTTCCGGTTTTGTTTAAACATATCAATATTTGAGATGGATAGGCTACCAAGGCCCAATTAAGTTTTGATAAAAAAAACTACCAAGGCTCAATAAAGTTTTGATAAAAAAGTACAAGTGTCGTACTGTCCAGAAAGGAAAGACATTTTTTTGTACTTCACGTACGGAAAGGATAGGCTCACAGGAAGTTGAACATTCCACAATCTTCTAGAAAGCGAGTTTGACCTAGTCTAGCTGCCCCATTGTTTGCGTTAGAGTGATTTTCTAGTCGACATATTTCCCACCTGTCACTGCTGCGTCGGCTTACTAAAACCGAGGGCTACACACACATATGTATTCACGCGAGCAATAGCATGACTCACACACCGCTTTATTGATCGACTAGAATAGCCGGCACACCTTCATATAATGCCGCGTGTTTCAATATAATCGAGAACTATGACCAGCACAGGACATTGAAATATTTCGTTCATTTGTAGGAAAAGGCTTACAATTGGGCTTATAAAATACTATAAAACAGGATACGAATACCTAACTAACCATGCGCGAAATCTGGGTCTCGTACGACAGGCGAATGCCGGCGTTACGATGACGTAGTTATCAAGCCTAAAAATAGTAAATTTCCTCCACACGGAAATTATGCAGAATTTTATTATAAAACTAGTAATAATCCGAGTTTCAAATGCTACAAGCACATTACAAGTTATGAATTTGAAGGCTTGCATGTGCAATACTTCATGAATGAAAGAGTTCGCTTGGAAAGTATGAAGGGCGTGGCCAACCGAGGCGAGACACGGTGGCACTTTCACTATTCACAAATTTATAACGAATTTTACCACAATTCAAACTCGGATGTCGGTAGTTTTCTTGCTTGGTGTACGCGTTGGGATATCTACACAAATTAATCCCGAATATTAATGTACTATGCTCACAATTTGGCAAGTTGAAAACGCCGGGTCGGGCAACGCCCATGTACATAACATTATGCCATTCTTGAAATACAGTTTCATATATTGCAAATATATTCGGTTACAACCGATACACAAAATAACTTTCAGAACTCAATATTTGGCGACACATACATGCCTTAATGCAATATATACAAATGTTAATTTAATTTATTAACAAGGAAATGTATTCAACGGTATGAAACAAAAAATGAACATTACACATGAATATGAAGAGGAACTATCCGCATAATACAATATTACTACACCGTTCCTGGTTTTATAATGGCAATATTTCTAACTACGTATCACATTTCAAATATTTCATTTTTAAACAATAGTCAATTTCCAAGATTCAATTTCTTTACCTGATGACGGGGTCTTCCGACGATGGAGGGGAAGACGGCACGAGGAGCATCGTCTCCAGCGAAACCGGCCTTGCACATGCCGGATCCATTGTCTACAACCAAAGCGGCTACATCATCGTCACACATTTTGATGGTTTAGAAATGTCTACCCCAAATACTACCCAAAGATGTTCAGTGTGTTCCGTGCAACCGTCAACGGCAAAGTGACAGGATACCGGCTGTGTGCACAGTTTTAAACACGCTGTTGGCACGCTCGATCTTGCCAATACCATAAAAGGAGATGTAGTTATCCTTATAAGGTAATACGACTAGAAAGCGTTTGCGCTATTTATATAAACCATTCACCGCCTAGATACACATGGGTGAGTAGCAGAGTTCGACGATAAGCTCCGCCCATATTTTCATGTTTTTCACCCAGGTAAAAACGAGGAACATGTATAAATGTACGTGTGTGCGTAGCCCATACATACCGTACCGGGAAATTGGGGGAATTTAGGGAATAATAATAATATATATCACCATATAAAGGTATATCTTAGACCATACAGGCTAAAAACAACGGAAAGCCGTACGGGACGCAACCACTTTAAAATAGACATGAGTCAACAACACTTACGTGCTTCAATACACTATAACTACGGACTTAGACTAGAATGGTGCAATACACAAACCTGGGCAGTTTAAATATTTTAGTTTTAACTGTAATGCCAACTTAGGCAGAGTACATGAACCGATCATGTTTAGAATTATACTTGTTCAAAAGGACAATGGTAGCTTTTAATCTGTAAGTTTCAGCTGGTGTGTTTGCCCCTTGCTAGCCGAGTTTGGATTTAAATACTTGTTTTTGTCACCTAGGAAGGGCGCAGTGGTGTATCTATGCGTGTAGACCAGACAGAATATTTAATTTAGAAAAAATAGCATCAATAAAACTGATCGTATTCAATCAATAAAAAAAAAAACTGTCAGATTGTTAACACTATTGAGACGCAGTTTATCACGAGAATTAAGTCTCATGGATATATTTAGATCTGTTATAACAAAATACATAATGATGTAAGTGATTTAAACTGCATTGCCTTAGATTCCCAGGGGTCGTGCAATCCTTTACAAGATATTTCAATAGCTTCGACAGAACTTACATGATAATTATCAGTTTACATGTATACAAATGTTATAAAATAATTAGTATTATAGAGTTGTACTATACGTCATTATTGATAGTTAATGATCGTCTGGTATTTAAATATGTCTGAAATGTAAGTAATTTATTATTATTGTCGAACAGGAAGACTTTGAAATTCTTCCTGTTTGAACATTTCAAAATATATTTTAAAAATAACACAATGTTTCCTCTTTCTGAATTTCAATCATGATTCATATAACCATAATACTTCCTCGGTTGCGTTTTTCTGGATTCTGGGTTTTTCTAATTCGAAGAAATTTAATACATTTGTGCCGTACGTACTTCCTTCTCCCTGGCCTATCACATTACAAACCCTTCTCCCCTATTATATTAAATACAAACAAATCCTGTTGAGATGGACAGATATTTGTTATATTGGATTGGCGTGAACAGGAATAGCGTTGTTTATGCATGGGAGTATGGTCCCACACTGCTGACGTATACCATATAAGTAGATATACTCCGCACATGATTATAACTACATACACATTGATACAGGTAAGTTAAACATAGAATAAAAAGATTTGTCATCTTTTCGGATTTTTTTAAAAATGTTGTAGGTAATTAACATCCGTCATTATTTCCATAAACGTATTAATATATAGGTGAACGTGCTTGTTTAAAGATGGGAAGTGAGATTTTAAAACTGACATTTTGATAATAAACAAAAGCAATCCCTTTTTTGAAGGTAATGAGAGTTGACCACACCTTGCGCAGGTAGATTTCGTTTGTCGTGTGTTCGATGACGCATGCTCGTTACAGTTTGCAGCCACACGTGGACATGTGTGTGTGTGTGTGTTACATTGTCAGTCAATCTGTTGGTGAAATAAAAAAAAACAAGTTACAATGTATTTACATTGTGTTTTTACGTTGTCTGTTTATACATAGGTATTCAACATAAATTTGCACTTTCCTGTTGTGGGCTGGGAGCCTTATGTTTATAATGTCATGTGTCAGCAAAAACTTGGGTAATGAGTTGGAAGATTTATTGCTTACATAAGGCGAATCCATACTTGTTGGGGTTTTTTTGTGACATTTTTTCACTTGTGTTTATGCACCTTGTATGTGGTCTATTGTAAAGTTAGTGATGCTTATCATGTTTGTCTAGATAACTTATAGTCATGCTCAATAAATGAGGCGTATATATTACACATGTATAGAATATGTGATAGATTTATTAGATGGAATGAAATTAAAACGAACTAGCATTGGTACAGCCAGTTCCGGTTTGTCGAGCGCTCCATCGTCCCCACCCTTCAACTCTTTCAATATAGTTAAGTCAAAAGTCTTGTTAGCATACTTGTAAAGTTAAAGTAGATATTTTAGCTGTAGTAGTATGGTAGGTCTTGGAATCGGAAGATGTCATTATGACCTTAAATCAGAATGGTGTGCTCAGGGTGTCATTATATAAGAGAGAAATAGACAAATTAAAAAACTTCATCATGTGCTAAAACAATATAATGTCTGCCGTTACATGTACAATGGGCCCATCCCTTTTTGTTATCTATAATGTATTCTAAGTCATCCTCAAAAGCACATACACTCTGTCTCATAAAAGCTGGATAACATTAGCCAGCAAACCCCGACCAAGTATGGTGACCTTGGGACCCGACACTCCACACAATACGAAATATGAAGTTATCTGAAGTAGGTCGGGCAATGACGTGATCACATGATTGTTGAAAAATTTATGGAATTATATAGTACGTAATTGTGGTATTGTAAATACCGGCGCACATACGTAGTCGTAAAGTGTATGTCAAGTAATGACATTTAATTCACATACAGCAAATAGCAGTTTATGGTGTGTTGTTGTACACCGGTCTCGGCATTGGGACAGGTCCACGAATCACAGCCTGGTTTTATAGATAGGGGGAAAAAAACAATTGTCAGTACACATCTAGTAGGGAAAGTATTTTGTTTTGTGAAACAGGGAAGGAAAAATATGCTCGGCCAGACTGGGACTCGAATCCGGGACTCTCTATCTCGAGGCGGACACTGACCAATTCAGCGTGGGATATAATAATAATAATAATAATAATAATAATAGTTCGATTCCGCTAGATTTATCGGTTTTCGGAATACCCAATGCTATATGAAGAGTAAGTGTATTTGTAGTGACATACTGCCTGGAGAAGACGGTAGGTACAGGAAGAAAGAAAAAGAAAAAAAAATCTGAAGTTTTGCATTTTTGGTCTCCTCAATGTCCCATTAAAAGACAGAGAAGAAACGATTCTGCAGGAGGACCTCATATCAGTCGCCTCCAACGATACACACATATAGTGTGATACGGAGGGCTGCTCTTGGTTTCTCCATTTTCTTCTAAGCAAAAAATACACAGAATACACAGACTACACAGAACACACAGAACACACAGAACACACAGAACACACAGAATACACAGAACACACAGAATACACAGAACACACAGAACACACAGAACACACAGAACACACAGAATACACAGAACACACAGAATACACAGAACACACAGAACACACAGAACACACAGAACACACAGAATACACAGAACACACAGAATACACAGAACACACAGAACACACAGAATACACAGAACACACAGAATACACAGAACACACAGAACACACAGAACACACAGAACACACAGAATACACAGAACACACAGAATACACAGAACACACAGAACACACAGAATACACAGAACACACAGAATACACAGAACCCACAGAACACACAGACCACACAGAACACACAGAATACACAGAACACACAGAATACACAGAACACACAGAACACACAGAATACACAGAACACACAGAATACACAGAACCCACAGAACACACAGAACACACAGAACACACAGAATACACAGAACACACAGAATACACAGAATACACAGAACACACAGAACACACAGAAAACACAGAATACACAGAATACATCCGCATTAGTGGCCTAGCTCTTACGATCATGAATATTTAGTCTTGCACGGCTCTGGGAAGAGTAAGACCCTTGTTTTCTACTGTATCGACAGGACAGGCGCAATGACCTATGCAAACAATTTAAATTCAGATTTACATGAATATACTTGCATGGATTGAGATTTGCAAAACAGGTTATAAGTTAAAGCTTATAGCGTAATCCTTTGCTCTAGATGTACTCAAATTCACCCGTCCGACGAGTTGGGTATCTGACAAATATACACGTATTCACTCCTAAATGGTTTACATTGTAGGTTACAGCCATTCAAATCGAAATTTTAACCGTATTTGTACGTCCTGTGCAGACACGTAAATGAACAGTTTTCCTCTGTATAACGGTTACTTGTACAAGAGGAACTCCATATACAAAACCAACCATACGTATAAGATTCTTACAAACGAATAAAAATAGCACGCAATGTCAATACAGTGTACACAAAAACATCACATCTTAGTATGCCAAATAAACAAATGTTATCCAACCCGAATATAATCATAAAACATGATGTTCAAAAAAAATCATTTTTGATTACATTCTCATTAACTGGATCATAATCACGTGGTGGTCAGTGACATGCGATATTGGCTCGATGTTAATTTCTATTTGTAGAAACAAAAGTTTGATATTCTCTTTATGACGTCACTTCCATTGTAACGTCACAATGTTCTCTGCCGAATACGTTCCATCTTGTTTAATAAGAGAATATGACATCATTTCATGTGTGGACCTGAAAAGTGATCTCTTTGTTAGGTTCATATGACCACATATTCACCTCGACAAAAGTCCTTATTTGATAAACATCTGCCCAGAAACAAAAATAAAAACAAAATTATTAAATGCCCGCATAAAACATTAGATATGAAAAAAATGCCCGTATGTGTTGGCAAACATCCATAAAAACACGGATATTTACCCGCAAACAAACGTCAACACATTTACTTGTATACCCGTGGGCAAACCATAAAGACATCTTGGTACACGGCCGCGAATAAATACTATATATGTTATAACCCCTTAATCCTTTCATAATTTGCACAGAGTGACAGTAGCGTAAAGTGTATTGAAATGTTTATTGTTTTGAAATGTC